ATTTCTGTAAATTTGAGGTCAGCCTGGTCTACATAGCTCCAGGTTATCCAGATAATGCAAAGGCTAATAGTGAGACCCTGTCTTGGAGCACACCTTTAATCCCAGCACTTGGGCTGCAGAGGCAGGTGGATCTCTGTGAGTTCAAGGCCAGCCTGGTCTTTGTTTATATCTAACTACATATTGTTTCTGTGGAACACAATTTTATGAATGCTTTTAGGATCAAGCTCTCTGTGAGCAATGACGGGCTGAGGGGCACTGGACTCTTGCTTTGTTGCCAGTTCACTTGCCCACACACCCAGCCATGTATGTGCGTTCACTAGGTGGGAAGGAGGAAGAAGGGTGAGTGAAGGTTCCAGGAACCAATGTGAAATCACAGGCGGGAGGCTGCTCTTGCACATCGGAGAAAAGGCGGCCTGTCCTGTCTTCCTTGCGATTTTCACCAGCTGAGTGTGCCTAGGTTGTACTCACCCGTAACGTGTGTGGTACCATATTTAAGTTCTCCCATCTGGTGGCTGCCTTGAGTTCCAGGGAAGGTCTCTAGTTGACAGATAATGTTTGTCTAAGAACTGCCTGAACAGCACTTACGATCTTAGGCATTTCATGATTATTGGTATCTCTGTCTTAGGTAAAAGAAGGAAAAATGATTTCAGGCCCATGTTTGGACTCAGAACTGCCACAGATTGGACAGGTTCCTGAATGTCCCCCTAAGCCTGTGTGGTTTGGTCTCTAGCTGATGAAGCTACTCGAAGGTGACAGATGGAAACTTTTAAAACAAACAACAAAAAAATCCTTTTATTTGCATGAGTGTTTTGCCTGCATGTATGTCTGTGTACCACAATGGTACCTGGTACCCAGAGGCCAGAAGAGGGCATTGGGTCTCCTGGAACCAGAGGTTCTGAGTCATTATGTGGGCGTCGGAACCTGAATCCATGTCCTCCAGAAGAAAAGCTAGTGTTTGCTGGGAATGTCTTTCTGTATGCTGTAAATGTGTTGCTCTGATTGATTAATACAATGCTGATTGGCCAGTAGCCAAGCAGGAAGTATAGTAGAGGCGGAATAAGCAGAGAGGAAAATGCTGGGAAGTAGAAGGAAAACTCCAGCTACAAGTGTTCCTAACAGACGAGCCATTTCTCAAGCCCCAAGACTTACGGCCTAGCAGACGGTCATGAGAGCATGTCCTGCAGCAGACTGTGGGGGTTTGGTCTGCTTCCAGGCCGGTCGGTGGCTTTTGCTATGATGTGCACCTCATTATCATGTTGCTGCCTCTCTAGAGGCCCCCAACAATGCATCAACCAATCGTGGGCTAGAACTACTCAAACAATCAAAACCAAGCTTTTCACCCTTTAAACTGACTACCTCAGACATTAGCTACCGGCCTTGAGTTAGAATATTGACCAGGCCTTCCGGCCTCCTGGCTCCCTTTCATTCATTCATTCATTCATTCATTCATTCATTCATTCAGTAGGGGCACCGCATTCCTGTAGTCAATTTTCCGTTTGCAAACTGCTGACAAGGTTGCCAGGATTAATTTACATGGGAAAATACCCGACCCCTGGTGCAGTGCCTGGCAGACGCCAGTATGCAGTGAGGACTGTTAAAGCCAGGACTGTATGCATGTGCACGCAGATGTATGTATAAGGACTATTGAAAAGTAATGAATTAGGCTACCTTATTGCTCTTTCAGAGGACCAGGTTCGATTCATGCAAATAATAGGCAAAACACTCATACATGTAAACTAGTAAAATAAATCTTTTTTAAAAATTTTATGTGCATTGGTGTTTTGCCATGGGTGTCGGGTCCCATGGAACTAAAATTACAGACAATTGTGAGCTACCATGTGGGTGATGGGAATTGAACTCGACTCTGGAAGCTCAGTCAGTGCTCATAACCACTGAGCCATCTCTCTAGCCCTGTAAAATAAATCTTTAAAAAAAGTTAAAATAATGAATTTCTGGGCTGGGTGTGGTGATGCACGCTTTTAATCCCGGCACTCAGGAGACAGATGCAGGCAGATCTCAAGAGGCTAGCCTGATCTACAGAGATCCTGTTTCAAAGTAATTTCTTCCATCAACTGAACTTGTGAAGGAGAAAGGAATAAGTGAAGGGACTGCTGTCCCCACAGCTCTGGTGACCTTTTCCACTTTAAATCCAACAGCCCTTCCCCTTCCTGCTTTGGGTGTTGAAGTTTCTCCTTCAATGCCCTGGTGTAGGGGAAACAGAAAACTAACTAGACTCGCTCACACAAAATGTAGTTATCCAAAACCACGTGTGAAAATGAAGCAGTCTACCCAAGTACGGTCGCACACACCTGTGACCCCAGCAGCTGGGGAGGCAAACACAAGCGCACCAGTTCAGGGTCCCCCTCAGCTACACGCAGTAAGTTTGAGGCCAGCCTAGAAGAACTGTGATCTTGTCTCAAAAACAAAAAACCAAAACAAAACCAAGAAACCTGGGCTGGAGAGATGGCTCAGTGGTTAAGAGCACTCATTCTTACAGAGAACCTGGGTTTGATTCCACTCAGGGGGCAGCTCACAATTCACTCCAGTTCCAGGGGACCCCATGTCCTCTTCTAAACTCCAGGGGCACACCAGGCACTCCTGTGTGCGTCTCAGGACAAAGACATCCAGCTGAGCAAAGCACTCATACATATAAAGTACAAAACAAACCAAACCAAAAACAAATAAAAACCAAAACAAATTAAGGAATCTAATTTTTAAACATTAGGATAGATAAGATTATTCAAGTTTTACTAGGAGTATTAAAAACAGGGGACTATGCCTCCTGCCACATGAAGCAGCTGTGAGTTTCTGGAACGGAGATCACTTTCCTATCATGCATTTCAGGAACACGGAAAGACAGTCGCTTGCTTTGACCTCTAGATCCTTCCTGAAGCAAGTCCTGCTAAGGAGCCGGGGGAACGCCCACCGGTCTCCTAGACAGTAAGGCGAACACATGAAAAGGACATACAACTGCAAATCTCCTCTGAAATACCTCAGGAGTCAGCAGGCGTCTCTAGCCATTCTGAGATGTGACCTCCCTTTGTAACACTCGCTCAAGTTCCAGAGTGAAAGCTGAAGGACACACAACTAGACTTTTCCCGCCTTTCTCCCGACACAGTGTTCATATGTGGCCCTGAGCTCCTAGTTTTACTCTGCCTTAGCCTTACTCTGGTCTTTTTGATCCCCATTACATTCCTCTCAGTCAGGGAGAAGACTGAGGATGTGACTCGAGGGCAAGATGGCTTATCTAGCATGCAAAGCCCTGGGCTGGACCTCCAGCACCCCACAGCCTGAGTGTGGTGGCGCATCCTAGTAACTCCAGCACTCAGGGAAACAGGAGGATCAGAGTTCAAGGCTGGCTGGGCATGGCGGCGCACACCTTTAATCCCTGCACCTGGGGGACAGAGGCAGGCGGATCTCTGTGGGTTCAAGGCCAGCCTGGTCTACAAAGGAGTTTCAGGCTAGCCAGATAGCCAGGACTACACAGTGAGACCTTGTTTCAAACAAAGAAACACACACAAAAGTTCAAGGTTATCCCCAGCTACATAGGGAGTTTGAGGTCAGCCTGGACTATATAATACCCACATCTTTAAATATAATCCTAGGGCTGGAGGGATGGCTCAGAGGTTAAGAGCACTGACTGCTCTTCCAGAGGTCCTGAGTTCAATTCCCAGCAACCACATGGTGGCTCACAACCATCTGTAATGAGATCTGGTGCCTTCTTATGTGTACATAATAAATAAATAAAAAATCTTAAAAAAAAAATCTAAATATAATCCTAGTAAAGTATTTACATATTTCATTTTGAAGCAGAGTCTTATATAGCATAGGCTGGCCTCAAACTTGGTATGTCTGATTCTCCTGCTTCTACCTCCCGATTGCTAGGATTATAGATGTACACCACCACAATTAGGTTATTTAAAAAACCTTAGGCTGGACAGTGGTGGCTTGCACATTTCTCGCACCAATCCTAGCAGTCGAGAGGATAATCTCTGAGCTCAAGGCCAGCCTGGTCTACAGAGGGAGTTCCAGAACAGCCAGGGCTACACAGAGAAACCCTGTCTTGAAAAAGAAAAAAACTGCGCTGGAGAGATGGCTTAGCGGCTAAGAGCACTGACTGCTCTTCCAGAGGACCCAGGGTTCAATTCCCAGCACCCACATGGCAAATCACAACTGTCTGTAACTCATTTCAAGGGACCTGACAGCCATGGCAAAACACCAATGCACATAAATTAAAAATAAATGAAATTTTAAAAAAGAAAAAAAAAGAAAAAAAAATTACTTAAAAAAAGGAGGGCTCTTGAGCACACTAGTCCCTCCTGTTAGAAGGAAGTGCGTCCCCAGGGCTGCATCCCTCGGCAGCAAAGCGTGGCACTGCTCAACGCACTCAGTGTCGTGGCGCCCCTCACTGGAGAGCGTACCTGGGCTTAAACAGACTTCACTTCTGGAAATGCACTGAGGAGACAAGCAGGAGCCAACAAGCCGTTCCTTAAAACGGTTCAAACGTGGAGAAGAGGATAAATGAAGGAAAAGGTTTATAATGCAGCTACCAATATTTCTTGTCAAGTCAGGTCAGGTCCAGCGGTGCACATCTGCATTTTCAGCACTTGGGAGGCTGAGGCAGGAGAATTAAAGTCTGAGAGCCTGGGCTACAGTATCAAGACCTTCTCTCTAAAAAAAGGCAGGGGGCTAAAGTCATATTCCCCCCATTTCAGTGCCTGGGAACAGATTATGGCTAAAAGGACACGGGGAACTGGAAATGTACAGAGGGAAACCTGTGGGAGGTTTGCTACAGTGTCACCAGATGTGACTGCTCTTCCCTGTGCGGCAGTCCTTACAGTGTCACCAGATGTGACTGCTCTTCCCTGTGCGGCAGTCCTTACAGTGTCACCAGATGTGACTGCTCTTCCCTGTGCGCAGTCCTTACAGGTGTTTAGAAAACAAGTGTGGCTGGTTTATGGCACAGTCAGCAGGAAAGAGAACACAAACCCAGCACAAACTTCAATTAAATAGCATGATTTAATTTACTTGCTGCTCAATCCTCAATCCTCTTAAGTTAAAAAAAAAGTTATAATTAACTATTAACGTTAATGAATTAAAACCTTCCAGAAACATGAATCCAAAAGGAAATGTCCAACAGGTGTCACGAGCCAGGTATTCTACGGCCTTTGCTGTCTCAGTTTGAACACTAAACATCAACGGAAAAGAAAATCTCTAGGGTTTTCAGTTTTATTCTTCTAGAGCACAACCGTGTGGCCTGTTACTAAGCACGCTCTCCCAGCAGGTACACGATGAACTCATAGGTGGACAGCACAATGGCAGTATTGGGGATCTGCCGGATGAGCTGAGCAAAAAGTCCTCGGTAGAAGGCAAGGTAGCCTTCCTCCCGGAACACCAGGCGGGCCGTCTGCACGAACGACTTGTACTTGGTGCCTTCCTCCCGGAGCCGTGTCCTGATGACCTCTGTGGAGACACAGTGGGAAGAAGTCAAGGCTCTGTTTACTGGGCAGCGTGGTTCTAACCTGGACAGGGCAGTCACATGCCCAGAGGGACAATGAAAGCTAAATTCCAGCAGGGCATAGTGGTGCACAGCTCTAATCCCAGCACTCGGGAGGCATAGGCACATGCATCTCTGTGAGTTCAAGGCCAGCCTGGTCTACAGAGTGAGTTCCAGGACAGTCACCGCTACATAGTGAGCCCCTATCTTGGAGAAAAAAAAGAAAGAGAAGTTTTTTTTTTAAATACCACATCCTACTTGGTCTAGAAGATTCCCTCCGATCTCCCTACTCTGTCTAGCTGAAAAGCCACCTGGCCTCCCTCCTAGCACACTGGCCCGGTGCTGCTCACTCCTGCTTGAGCAGACCTCAGAGCCTGGGAGGAACTGCTGATGCCTCTCCCATCATGCCTTTGTGGATGGTTGGGTGGTGCTCCAGAACACAAGGGATCTAAGGCCTGTTCCTGAGACAACGGTGATCTGTCACTGCCGTGCAGGGGCTTAGAAAGCACAAGCTGTTTTCACAGCACACGGAACTGTTCTTTAGTAGGCTAGTGGGGCACCTCACGCTTGCACCTTGGCTACGGGTGCAGCGCAGTGGCAGAGCACGTGTTTAATGCACACGAGGACCTAGCTCAATCCCTAGCAAGAAAGTGTGCCTGGTGGCGCACGCCTTTAATCCCAGCACTCGGGAGGCTGAGGCAGGCAGATCTCTGAGTGTTCAAGGCCAGCCTGGTCTACAGAGTGAGCTCCAGGACAGCCAAGGCTATGTAGAGAGCTGTCTCAAAACAAAAACACAAACACAAAACAACAACAAAAACACTCAAAGGAACAAAAAAGCCCAACTAGTAGATGTATGTAGCACCCAACTCAAAGTAGAAGCTAAACGTTTTCATTTGTCCCCTACCCATAGCTTCTTCAATCAGGGAATTTTAGGTAAAGTCCAGTTTGGGGCTTTTTTGCAAACAGAGGTTCAGTAACCCCGGTTTTGGCCCAGCAAACTCTTGCCACACTGAGGTGGAGCTGAGCCAGGTAGAGGCCAGCGCTCACGTGATGCATGTCAATGCAGTCAATGATGGTGTCACTCAGTCCTGTAGGGACAGAGTGAGCATCTCCAAAAGTTTAGCCTGTCCCTTTGGCTGGATCAGACATGCTTAACCAGTGAAAGTATGCACACACTCCAAGTGACAGTCTCTGGACGTAATCACTCCGCCTATGTCACACACATTTCAGTCTGTGCTACCAGGGCTGTAGGAGTCTACGTACAGTGACAAACAACAAACCCGACAGCTGGGATTTGTTTTGCTTTTGTTTTTTTTTTTCTTTTTTTTCTTCAATTTTTCAAGACAGGGTTTCCTTGTGTAATCCTGGCTGTCCTGGAATTCACTCTGTAGACCAGGCTGGCCTTGAACTCAGAGATCCACCTGCCTCAGCCTCCCAAGTGCTGGGATTAAAGGCGTGTACCACCACCGTCTGGCTCCCCCTCACCACCTGTTTTATTGCTCCAGGAGAAAAGAGTAAAACATACCATGTGGGTAAGCAATACAGGAGGCACATCCTTTAGAAACAGCAGCAGCTGCCATGAGTCCAAAAAAGCCAGAGGAACTTTTCTCATTCCCATCCGTGGAGGAGACGATCGGAGCTTCTTTCAGACACTTCTTTAAACTCTCATAAATAGCAAAGCAGATGATCGTCTCTGAGATCCCAGCATACGAGGCAGTCAGGCCTCTATAGAAGCCACGGATGCCTTCTGTCTGGTACACATGCCGAGCACACTGGAGTGTATTCATCTGCTTGCAGCCTCTCACCCTATCAGAGGGGATCAATGATAGACGCTGAGACACATCACACCCAAGTCACATGAGGAGCACCACGACACAGACATGACACTGGAGGAGAAACCTGTCTTTCTTGCTCTGAGGCCACCTGACCTGTGACCCACCGTTGAGGCCAGTTCAATTAGCTGAGAAACCTGACAGGTCCACAGAATAGATGGCATCTGAAATGACAGTCACAAAGGCTTATAACCTTTGACCCAATTCTAGAAAACACTAATGGAGGATAGCATTTATCAGAGAAAACAGTTGGAACCACTGAAATATCTAAAAACAGAAATAGGTAAGTAAACTGTAGCACATACAAGATGAGTTATGACGGCAGAGATACAGAAAAGCTAAGTAGAAAGCTGGACACGCTTTTAACCCCAGCACCTGGGAGGCAGAGGCAGGTGGATCTCTGAGTTGTGGTCAGCCTGGTCTACAGAGTAAATTCCAGGACAGCCAGGGCTACACAGAGAGACCCTGTCTCAACGCCCCCTCCCAACACACACAAAAAAAAGGTTGAGCAAAATTCCACACAAAGTAAAACCCGATGACAAGAGGAAAATGCTGAGGAAAAGGTTGGTGAGGTGTCTTCTTTGGTGTACGGGATTGAACTCAGGGCTCTGTGCATGGCAGGCAAGTTCCGTACCACTGAGCTACCTGCCAGCCCAAGGTACTCCTTCCTAACACTGTTCTCTGGAGTGTGATTTATGTGCATGACAAGGATGGACCCCAGGGACTCATACAAGGGGGAAAATACACACGTATGTATAAATTTATATGTGTGTACACGTGTATATACATATTTCTTCTTAGTTATGGTACACAGAATTTTTAATCTAGGCACATTATCTGATATTTTACTCATTATATACTTTAAAATGTCTACGGATGTATTTATTTTACGTGTGTGCATGTACAGGCATTGGATCCCCTGGAACTGGAACTACAGGCTGTTGTAAGCAGCCAGATGTGGCACAGGGAACTGAACCTGGGTCCTCTGTAAGAGCAATAAATGCTCTTAGCTGCTCAGACATCTCTCCAGCCCATGGTGGTATATTTTGATTCCATCATTTCTAAGGTTAGCCTTAATCTTTTTTGAAAAATGGTAACTCAGAGTGAGCTGACGTTCTCCATTTCTTACCACTCTTCTGATTTTGTCCTTACTTTACAAGGAGAGTAGCAGAAATGATCAGTCGACTTTTTGTTTGTGTCTTTGATACATACTCCTTTTTGCCTATAAATCAATGTCCTCCACTTGAGAGTCACTGAAGACTTACTGTTTCATAGAATAAGTGCTGCTCACACCAGAATCATGAAATAATAACTTAAACATCCAGGAGTGATGGCTCATGCCTACAATCCCAGCATTTGGGAAACTGAGGTAGGAGAATGGATGTGAGTTTCAGGCCAGCATGGATTATAGAGTGAGACCCTGTTTTAAAAAAAACAACCAACCAAAATAAGAGACAAGCTGGGGCTGGAGAGATGGCTCAGTGGTTAAGAGCACTGGCTGGTCTTTCAGAGGTCCTGGGTTCAATCCCAGTACCCACATGGCAGCTCACAGCTGTCTGCTATTCCAGTTCTGAGGGACCCTATGCCCTCACACAGACATCCATGTAAGCAAAACACCAATGCACATAAAATACAAATCAATAAACAATAAAAAGAAAGAGTCGAATCGCTAACCTTTTGTACCCTCATTGTTTTCTTGCTCCAATCTTTCTGTGCACCTGTCTCTCCTTTCTGTACCCACACCCAGCTCCTCTCGAGAGGGCGGGAGCTGCTGCTGCCGCCTCAGAAGGCTCTCCTGCCACTCCATCCTGCTGAGCCTGTCCTATGGACCCTCCAGCATGCTGGGTACCTCACACCCCTTGTCCCACTAGACTCGAATTCTCTTAGCTCATTGGTTGTAATGCTGTAAGGTAGAAGGCAGGAGCATTTTCCCTGGCAGCCACTGGAACAAGATATGCTCACAATGTTGACAGAGCCCACCTAAATAAAAATCTAAAATGTCCTGAGCACTAGAAAGGTTCTTAATCAACAGACGCTAAACACAGGTGACATGGGGACACTGAACACTTAGTTCTGATAAGTGATACTTAAGGCTGCCAGGAAATAAGGCTGGCCAGAAGCTTGAAGCACAACCATAAAGAGGAAGGGACATTCCCAGCAAGGGACTGTACACTCAGGAAGATGGACATGTAGGACACACGTGACATTTTTGGAAAACTGCAAAGGACTGTCTGTTTTACTGTGGAAGTAACTGACCCTTGCTGTAGGATTCTAGCAAGCACTTCAGAAGGCAGAATGGGCTGGGGAGAGTAGGGGTTCAGATCGGGGGATGCATGATCACAGGAGGATGATGAGCCCAGGCATGTCCCTCCTTCACCCTGCAGGGACATCTCACTCTCTCCTCTTCTTAGAGGCAGCTGGAGGAAAGATGGCCTTGCTAGTGTTTCCAGGGTTCAAATTTCTGGGTCACACAGCACAAAGGCTTTTAGAATCCAGGCAGTTCCTTGAACTTAGACTGGGAGAGCCCACATTTCTACTGGAAACCAGCATTCCTTCAAGAAGTATGAGTGTGGGTGACACCCCACAGAAGTAGGAGCTGTGGTTTCACACAAATAGAGACATTTGTCATCAAGTTAAAAAGCGTTTGTTTAGTATCCTCGATTCCTTGAAAATCACAGAAGCCGCTGGCCTGCTGAGAAATCTGATGTTTGTATAAAAGAAGCATTGTTAGTACATCACAATTTTTGTTGTTGTTTTTTCAAGACAGGTTTCTCTGTGTAGACCTGGCTGTCCTCAAACTCACAGAGATCCACCTGCCTCTGCCTCCTGAGTGCTGGGATCAAAGGCGTGCGCCACCATGCCCGGCGAATCAGAGACTTTTAAAATACTGATGAGTTACTTCAGTTGGTTTCCACTTCTCTACAAACCTTTGCTCTATCCAAGGGCAGTGGTATAACCAGTAAGCCTAGCCCCGGGGAGGCTCGAGGCAGGAGGGCTGCAAGTTTGAAGCAGCCTGAACTACACAGAGAGACTCTGTCTCGGTAAAAAACAAAGCCCAATATTTTGTAGGCTTCGCCAGAAAACAGGAAACAAGGCACACCAGGACTCTCAGATAAGGAAGGAACTATTAACTTACTTCCGTTCTAGCTGCATCCTCGTTTTAACCATCCAGATAGGATTCATTAAGGTGTTTGTGACAAAAGCTGGAGGGAGAAAACAGTCATCACTGAGACAGTCAGTGTCCACTGCAGCTGTCTTTACCGCACAGTACCCTGGGGTCAAGCTGCAGC